TTTTGGTATGTATAAGACAATAACCCCCCATTTAAATAAAACAACTGTTTGAGATGATTTGCACTGAGGAATGAATACCATTATATTTGGTTAAATTTTCACCCCAGGGAGGATGGATGATGCTTAAAGTGTGTCAGCACAGTTTCCTATTTCAGGGCTTTGCATTGTCCATGGTAAGTAACTTCTCTTTTTCTCCTTTTGTTTTTGTTTTTGTTTTTTCCTAAACTTTCCAGGTAAAAGCACTCCTGTCAGCCACCTTGGGCCTGCAGATTTTCCCAAGCCCCATGATCCATTCCAGCCATTTGGGGCTGACAGCAGTGACCCCTTTCAAAGTAAAAAGGGGTTTGGGGACCCATTTAGTGGAAAAGATCCATTTGCTCCCTCCTCTTCAAGTAAAACTTCTAAAGACTCTTCCTTGGGGTTTGCAGACTTCAGCTCTGTAAGTTAAGTTCCTTGTCTCAGCAAACCACTTTCTGCTCTGCTTGCAGCAAATCTGTTGGGTTTTTGTTTTACCTGCAAACCTACTGTTCCCTGGCTTCTGTCTCTCAGTACCTTCATGCTGTCCTCATTGTTTTTGTATTAATATTTCTGTAATAAAAAGGCATTGTTTCAATAAAAGAGAAGTTTTTCATACTAAATTTCCAAGGGTTTACTTGCATTTAAATTATTTGAGCACGATGTGCCTTTACTCTCAAATTCTCTGTAGCAGAACCTGTGTATTGTTTTTGTTGCATGGAGGCTATTTTGTAAACTGATTTTTGGTAGCCAATGATGTAAAGACTCAAAAAAAAGCAATTGCTGAGAACGTTTCTATAGCAATTTCACCATATCCTGAGAAGCAAATCCTTAAAGGGAAAGTTTCCCTAAAGCATTTGTAACTGTTGGTGGAAAAAAATTCTGACAATCCTGTCACAACATTTGCTGTATATGATGGAATGTGGTCGTAGAGGGACACAGACCAGACAGAGATTGAACATTTAGCTCTTGAATTTTGTTCCAGTTATTGATATTTTAGAAAAGACAAAGAAAAAAAAAAAAAAGACAAAACCAAAATTGTTTTGTTAGAACCAAGATAGAAAGGTCCACCCTGCCCTCCCAAAGACAGTCCCAGGAGGTTGGAAAGCAAAGCCAGGTGAGTTCATCACCAGTGTTTCTAAAGCCTGGCTTTGGTTTTGGTGCTGGAATTGGGAACCATTGTAAATGCAGTAGTGGGGTGGTTCTTCTTGCTTCCAGGAGTGGATGGAACCTGTTCCATCCATCCACAGCCTCAGGCTTCTCCCTCCTTTCCCATGTTTTTGTTCTCTGACAGTAAAACATCCAATTTAATCCCCCCCTCAGCTCTGGACACAGCTCAGTGTTCAACAGGTGGGGAGCTTTAAGCTGAATCTTTCAGGTTGTTTCTTTTTAATGTTTGGGTTTGGTTTGTTGTTTTGGTTGGTTTTTTCCCTACTTATTATTTAATATTAAATGTGTATCACTTTCCTATTTGCTATTGTTTAGTTGAGGCCATTTGTTCAGATTTTAGTTGGGCCTCAGGGCTGTAATTTATCTCTTTGGAAACGTCCAAGTTCAAGGTTTTCTGTATGTTTGACCACAGCTGGTACAGCCTGTTGGATTTGCACAGTTAAATTCTGATTGTATAAAAACTGGTGACATTCTTAATAAAAATAAGACGCAAAACTTGCTTTATCTGCAATTTCTTCCAACAACATCTTAATTTCTTCCTGCAACGAAAGCCAAATGATGGAATGGAATGACTGTTGCCCAATTCTTGCCATCTTACTTTGCACACTGCATTTCTTAAGTTAAAATTGTGGTTTACTCTGAGTGATTGTATCAGATGATCAGCCAAAATCTCTGATCCCCATCCTAGAGGGTCAAATTTGCTGTGCCATCAGGTTTTCAGCTGAGATTAACCTTAGAAGAGAAGGGAAAAGTAGGAAAACTGAGATAATGAGCAGCAGCCACTTGGTAATTCCTGTTCAGTGGCATTTCATCAAATGAAATACATTTTTAAATCAGTTTTGTGAATTGATTTTTCCCTGCTATTACAAAAAATACCAAAAAGAAGCATTGACTGAATTTGGCTGAAAAGAGAGAGATTTGATCCCTGTTCTCTTCAGTTTATGGGGTTTTTTCCTTGCCTATAACACAGTTATGCTGCTCCACTTGACAATTCCTAATCCTTCTGTATGATGTTTTAAATGTACTAATTACCTTGGAATCACTGAGAATATTGTGCTTCTCTTTGCCTCGTGGTTGGGAAACTTTTCATTCACAATGGAAGTGAAAATCACTTTTACTTACAGAATGTTTTTTGACACATGAACCAATGTAGGACTGAACAGTCAAATAACCCAATTTTTAATTGAAATCCTTGACTGTTGCAAAGAAAGAACATGAAAACCTTCACTAGATCTTAGTAGCACTCTGTGAAATTTGATTTTTTTTTTTGAGACACTGGCAAATTCCTGCACCCAGAGCTTACCTATATTCTCCTTGCATTCTTAACTTTGTTGCTGGCATTAAATACGATTCATTGGAACAAAACAGAGTCTTTTGGTAGCTCAGATTTCGGGTATTTCAAGGTTCCAGCTGCAGTTTACAGAACAACAAGAAAAGCCACCTTTTTGCCAACAGAAAGTGTTTAAATTTCCAAGAAGCAGAACACAGGACTAAACTTTTTCTCCCAATATAAGCTGGAAATTCAGTGAACACAAATCAGTGCAGTTTTTGAGATTTGGTTTCCTCATTTATACCTTGGTCTGACTGTACTTCTGAAAAAGCAAAAAAAAAAAAAGAGGTTTTTGATGAAATTACCCTTGTGTGATGCAGATTTATAAAATTTTTGAAACCTGGACATGTACAGAAAATTGGTATTGTATTAAATGACCTGTAAATTACCTTTTTCCAGACAATCAGTGGCATTGATTAACTGTTCCATATTTATTTCACTGAGTTATCTCCTGAAAATTTTCCTTTATGCCAACCACTTGTAATAAGGCCCATCCAGATTTGTTTCCAATGAATCACTTGCTTCTTTTTCCTTTTATTTTTTTTTTTATTTTACTCAGCACTCTTAACCACAAAAATATAACTTGTGTCCCATGAACAAGTTATAATTGGGACTCTCTTTGGAAGCCTTATCCTAGGATGGAAGCTATAGGAATAAAACTGGTTTCTCAACATTAAAAAAAACACCCCAGATGGTTTGACCAAAGCTTCTTGTATTTCTGGAAATAGTAACTGTTCATTCTCCATCCCAGCTTAAGGATCTGCCTGAATTCTTGGAATAAGCACAGAATTCCTGCTTCCATTTTCCATCTTTACCTTGAAAAAAATCATCTATTTAAAATCTTAGTGAGCTTTTCAATCTTACCTGTCAGCTGACGTTATTTAAATGATAAATCATAGTAGTTTTTCTTCATTTTAAAAAGGAAAAATGTCAAAATGTGTGACACTTTTGTTGTATTTCACTAACATAGAATGCAAAGGTCCCCCTCTAAATTTTGATGGTGACGAAAGCAGAGGTGTTACATGAAGGAATGTAATTTTTTCTTTGCATCAAATCATCTGAAAAACCATCTTGAGAGAAATAAAATGAGGAATGATGAGCATAATTTAACTAAACGAGAATTGGACTTGGGTTGACAGAAATTCAAACAGGCGGATTTATTTAAAAGTACCTAAAAAATACCTAAAAAAATGAAAAATTACAGATACAATGCAGCGTAGAAGAGGCAGGGGTGGGGCCATCACGTTGTGTATATGCAGCTAAACAAGGTCTAGCACTGAAAGCTGCATTTTTAATACTCAGGTTGATATTTTAGGCTGTGCCAGCTCCTGGTGGCACCATGGGCTGTGCTCACTCGCTGTGTCCCAGCCCACCAGGAATTTTTGCACTATACATCCAGCTGAAATTTTTCTCCTCACAAAAAAAAAACAACCAAATAATATGTTTTCCTGCACAAAAAAAAAGAAAAAAAGCCAACACAAAGCAGATTTTAGAAGTGGCTCTAATGCAGACATTTGCATGCAGCTGTTCCCATCGGCCTCCTCAGCAACTGCTAAAATTAAACAGGAGCAGATTATATTTGAGCTTAAAATTGTTATGGTGTCAATAAAATAGCTGTGGATTTTGTGCAAAAAAGTTCAAACTTTTGCATCTTTCAGTGGTAAATACTGGAATATAATTTTGGACTAGTTTGGCTGCACTGTATTTAAATGTGTTTTGGGGAGCCCAAACAGGCTTAGGAGCTGAATGTTATAATGTGGGATATTTCCTTAGTGTTCTCTGCTGAAGGAAATTGAATTCTCCCACATTATTTCTTACTGGAAAAACTCTGTGTGTAATTTATGAACAGTAACAGAAGCACTTTCTGTAACTTTTGCTTTGGTCATGAAGCCTCTCACATGTCAAAAATCACTGCTCAGACCCCTCACCCTCAGCAGGAGCCACCACAATAAAACTCTGCAGTGGAGTTGCACAGGAGTGAACAACTCTTGGTTTCACCAGCTACTTACTATCCTTAAAAATGCCTGTAGTTGCTGTGCTCCCAAGCCACTAACTTTGCTTTTGTTTCTTTGTGTCTGTGGAGTTTTTCTTTGGCTCCAGTGGCTGTTTTCAGACCCACCTGAGCCGTGGATTCAGGGATGTGCAGCCCTCATGGCTTAGCTTCCTGCTGGGAGGAGGAGGAGGAGGAAGAAATTAAGGAAATAAATTAAAGGAGGAAGTGAAGGCAGAAGAAATTAAGGAAATAAATTAAAGGAGGAAGTGAAGGCAGAAGAAAATTAAGGAAATAAATTAAAGTGAGGAAATTAGTGAGTGGATTTTTACCTTAATCCAGAAGAACTGCCCTGAGACAGCTCAGTGTGCTCGACCCGTGTATTTAACGAGTCAGATTCATTGTGTTTTTTTCACATAATTTCTTCTGGCTGGTTGGCAAATTTGTTAATTTCTTTTCCATTTTCCTTTTTTTTTTTTTTCTTTTTTTTTTTAGTTTGGAAATGAGGAGCAGCAGCTGGCCTGGGCCAAGAGGGAGAGTGAGAAAGCAGAGCAAGAAAGACTGGCCCGGTTGCGGAGACAAGAACAAGAAGACCTCGAGCTGGCCATTGCCCTCAGTAAGGCTGACATGCCAAACTCCTAAAGAGGGGCTTGGGCTCCACCCCATCCAAGAGAAACCTTGGAAAATGGCTTTTGGTAAAAATACTAAACCCTTGGTTTCTGTTGTGAAAATAATTTTAGTCACCTTCAGATTTAAACAAGACCTGGCTGGGGGCGTCCGCCCGGGCTCTGTGTGGCTTCTCTCAAGTGCATAATCTGCAGGAAACACTGTAATAAGCTGTATTATATGTTCTAGATAAAAATTTATTGCTTGTAAGAAATGTAACGTATAATCCTGAGATACTGAAAGTTTTCTTTTCTCTGGGGGACAAATGTTGCACATTAGGAAATTGCAACGTGTGAACCTGGCTTTTTATAACCTGAATTCCATTGGGGGTTTGGAGGCTGCAGGATGAACTTCAAAGAAAATGTCATAAAGAAGAGAATATTTACAGAATTAGCTTTCACTTGTTACGTTTATTTAATAATTCATGGTAGCCTAATCAGTTTGTCACCTGCATCATCTGTGTCAAAGCATAAATTCATTATTAGATGGTCCCTTTTAATCCAGAAGATGTGGCTTTTACAAAAGAATCTAGCAGTTTATATATGATGGATGCAAACAGTGAACTGTGTAAAAGAGTACAGACTTGAAGCCTTTATGAATGGGTGGTTCTGATTTAAACATTTGTTTGTGTTGAGTTTTAATAATTGTACGTGAGGTGGTAAAAGAGGGAGTTCATTCAGCTGCAGGAAATTGGATAAATCATTTGGCAGTTAAATTATGAAGTGAAATTTTGCTGTATCATGAGCAAAGGGTGGTGATACACGTTTGGGTGCTGCTTTCATGTGAAATCAGGAAATCAAGCAATGGAAAAATGGCTGAGTTTGAGGAGTGTCCATCCCTCCAACCCATTGTACCCTCATTTACTCCAACAGCCTGGGCTGTGTCCCTGCCTCTGCTTCTTTAATTCCACCAGTCCTGTGGGGTTACAGATCAGACCTGATTTAGCTGAATCAGTTTTTCTTTGCCAAATACATATTCACACACAAGTTCTGGCAGCACTGGTGGTCTGGGTTGGCTCTGAAATCCAGTTTGCAGCCCCCAGAGCAGGCAGGGACAGGTTTTCTATGCACTGACTGCTTCCACCTGGAAAGGGCAGCACAGCATGTGTCTGACATGTCAGACAAGAAAATAAGGCTGTGAATTCTTTACTTACTAAAAATGCCTTTTCTGATTACAGGAATTCTAAAGCTACAGTTGTCTTTGCCTTGGACTTTTCTGTCTCACAGAGTAGGGAACCTACCACAACATTTTTACGTGTCCTCAGTCTTATTTCCTGCCCTGTGGGAATACAAAGCTTAACATTCTGGGGTTTTAGTGATGCAGCCCTTATCTTACAACATTTTCTCAGTTTTTTGGGGGTTTTTTTGTTTGTTTGTTTGTTTTTTTTAATGTGGTGTTCCTTCATCACCTTTAATGCATTTCTGGTTCTTATGTCCTTGCTTCAGTTACCTTTATTTTCATGTTACAACAATAGTGCCTGTTCAGTGGATGCAAACAACCTCTCCCTGCTGTGTTGTGATTGCCTTATTCTGGATGCTTTCCTGATGCAGAGATAAGAATCAGATTGGATCATTTTAAGCATCTTGGTAGTTTTCAGCTCTGAAATGCAGCCAAGATGTGGCATTTGTGGTCTCAGGCTTTGGGGTGGTGGGTGAGTGTGCAAACACACACATCCAGCCACCTTTGGGATGTTGTTTTGAGGAGTCACAATTCCCTCTTTGCTGTGTGTCTCCTGTGCTAATGGTACTACAAATAATGTGAATCTTTAACTCCCCTCAAAAAGGGAGAAGATGTATTTCTAATATCAAAACCAACCATGTAATCATCTTTAATACTGTCCTTTAATGGCCCCTCTGGGATGCATTTCTAATTTTACAGAATCTGATTTGAAATCCCTTCCCATTGTGGTAACTTTTCTCTAAAATATGTAGGATTAAATGATCAATCATACTAAAATGTTGAAAAATTCTCTTTTCTGTTGGTGTGCAGGACTTGAAGTCTCTGAGAGCAAACTTGGGTCTGCTTGTAACTAACATGAGATAAAAAGAGCAATTTTCAAAAGCAAGTGGCTGCAGGATTCCCAGGGAAGTTAAACAAACTATCCATGTGTAAGATTCTCCTTCTCACTTGGGCCTGAGTCCTTGTGGGGTCTCTTTTGCTGCAGTAAAACCCCCTTTGAGAAGGGAAACCCCCTCCTGGAGCTCTGCTGGGATGGTGTCACTCCAGTGGGACAGGGTGGATGACTTAATAGCTTGATTAATTTTCAGATTCATGCACCATAACAAGACTTCCTGCTGCTTTGTCAGGGCTCTAAAATACTGTAATTTATAATTCTTCTAAGGCAATGGGTTGGTGTTTTCAAGATGTTCAGCAGGAAGGCAGAAATGTGAATTAATCCAGCATTCCATGTGGTGTTAGGGCTCATTTTCCTATTTCCTTATTGACTCTTCCTCATATTTGCTTGGACAGTAACTGCAGATCAATGAACCAGGACAGAACATGTTCTCTATGCACAGTGTATTAGATTTAGGAACCTTAAGTTTACTGAAACACTCTTGATTCAAAATGTTGGCACTGCAGTAGAAGAAAACTTAGCTGTGATTTCTCCCCTTGGTATTTAATACAGTTTTCCACATAAAAAGGAAGATCCCCCACTTGTGTTTCCCTCTGCTGTCACTCAGTGTTTGTACAATACCTGCACTTGTCCTTTAAGGCAAAACTTTAGTGCAAGCCATTGGTCTTCTTCCTCCAGAACAGTGAAATTTAAAGCACAAACAGACCTGTTGCTATTTGAGCAGAGAAAATATGTACAATGCAAGAGCTGGCAAATGTGAGCATCCCCAGTGCATATACAGTGTACAGTGAGACCCATATTATCTGTGTCTATGTGTATATATTTATATATATAGTGTATTGTATAATGTAATAATAGTGTGTGTATATACTCCACATGTCCACATGCTCTGTCCAGTAAATAGTTCTTTGTGCTGTACATAAACTGTGTATATACAATGGATATGTGGAATATGCAGATATATTCTACATATTGAAGTTGTGTGTGTGTGTGTGTGTGGATTCTGTAACCAGGGATGGGTACAGAAATGGAATTTGTACAGAAACACAGGTTAGCTCGTGGCTCTGAGAATTTCAAAGTTCTGGTGAAAGAAAGAAAGAAAGGAAAAAAAAAAACAGGAGAAATTATTTCTAATCTATTTGTTTTGATATTTCTTTCATTGGCATGAAAAACTGTGTTTATTAGCTGTGCCAAGTGTAGGGGAAACCTGGCAGAAAGTAGGAATCATCTGCACTGGATGTGATTTCACATTCTTTGGAGTTTTTAAAGTGTCTTGTGGAATCTGGGCTCAACTGCTGATCTCACATGTGATGCTCATGTCATCTTTTCTTTTTTCTCTGGGCTGAGGCAGTGAGTTTTCTCCTCCATTTGCTTGCAGTTTCACTTCTCTCTTTCCTTTTTTTTTTTTCCTTTTTAAAAAACTATTTTTAAGGAGCTGTTCCCATACACACACACATCCCCCAGACAGTCACAGGCAGAGGTGAAAAACATGTTTTTCTTGCTTCATTCCAGTTCAGTTGGTTGCACATAATTGTCATCTGGATTCCAGCTCTGTTTTTCCTCCATTTCCACTTCAGGAAGGATTACCCATTGCATTCTTGGCTTTGGGGAAAGAGTGGAGGTGATTCTACTTTCTAACTAAAGATAAATGGAATTAGACTCTGTGGTACCTTGAGCAATCACCAGGAGCTCAGCAGGTTTTATGGTGGCACACACGTGTTTTATAGGGAATATCATCACTGGGATGACTCATGGGAAGGCCTGGATTGCACAGAACACTGAGGCACAACAGTTAAACAGGACAGACAGACAATTACCCTCCTTGGGCCTGCACGTAGGACACAGGTCCTGAGTTACCACCCCAGCCCTGTGTGCTCACATTTCCCTCAGTCACCTTCCAACTGCCTCGCTGTAAAACCTCCCAGTCAGCCTGCAATAAAACCAGATGCTCATGAAAATCCTCCTTCCACAGTAGTGCTGGATGAAGTATTTTTATATAGGCACATTTTTTCCTCGTGGAACCTCTGCCCTGTGAGGGCCATCAGTCCTCCCTGGATTTTATTCCATGTACTGTGCCCTCAAAGTGTAGGAAATTCCAAGCTGTGTCTGTGTAACCCTTTTTTTTTTATTATTTTATTTTATTTTAAATTCCTGTCTGTGAAATCTGGTGGCAGAAATTTTGTAGAAGTTATTTTGTCATCTTATGCTCAACGATAATGCACTTTTCTTGGATTCTTCTTATAATCCTTTTGGGGTTACTATTTCTTCTTTAGTGTTTCTCCATTGAGAAGAATATTTATTCTGTAGAACTGTGGCCCAAGGAGTTTTGGTCCAAGTAGAGTTGTTGCTTTCCCTCGTGTAAGAGTTTGATTTCTCCTTTCTTCTGCATTTTTTTTCCTCCCTCTCAGGAATTTCGTTTCTGTTTAATCCTTGTTTAGAGCTGGAACTCTGTTGAAGTGAATTGATCTGTGCTATTAATGATCTAATTCAATTGTGTTCCTACACTAGTGGAACAGCCAAGTTTTTGGTGTGTGTCAACCATTGCATCTCTTTACACTTCACAACACCCATCTTTTCTTAGAAAGGAATTTTGCTTGGAGTGTGGTGGAATCACAGATTTATTTTTAGAGTAAATATGTTAACTGTTATTCATTGACACACCTGCTTGATCAGTTGATATACTGCTCTTTTTACTTGAAAGTTTTATAAATAAAGGCTAATTTGTTATAAAATGGAATTTTCATTTTTCCAACTTCTGCCTTCCCCTTTAAGTTTAACTTCTAAAGGAAAACTCACAGTGACTGTGGTTCCTCCTGCTGTTACAATTACAGAGTCCTCTTCTGGTGTCCCTTTTAATATTCTCCAGTCTGACCTAAAAAAGGTGGAAACACAAAGTGAAAGCTGCAATGTTGACCTAAATTTGACTAATATCTCCAAATATGTACATTGTTGTAGCTATATTTATCTTTCAAATATCATAACAAATTGAAAGGTATTTTAATTTTAACCCATCTCATGTGTTTATTGTTTAATATAATAAGAGAATTGTTATTGTTTAATATAATAAATGAAAAGTTACTTTTTGGAGCTCTGAGACTTCAGTGATCGTTCTTTACTTTTTTATTTTTTAATCCACAATTTCACAAGTTTTTGTGTCAAATTCATGAATCTTCCTTCGAGCAACCACTGGATTCTCTGTGTGGGATCTTTTTTGTGCTGTTTTCCCTCCTGTCCTTCCCTCTCTCCCCTGTTCTGACCACGTTGGAGCAGCGCAGTCACAAAACCCGGCGCCGCGCCCTTCCCAAAACAATTTGTGTGTGGCAACGCTGAACATCCAGAAAATTTACACTGGGAGGGGTTGGAGAGATCCCCATGGACTGCCTGTGGAAAAACACACCTCACTATCAGACCCTTCCACGTTATTCACTTTGACTCACTGGGCTCCCTCTGTTTACTGGCTCTGCTCCTGCACGTCGAGCCAGGGGAGCACCAGCTGGGCTGGTTCCAGCAGGTTGCCAAGGCAGGTTGGTCTCCAGCAGGTTGCCAAGGCAGGTTGGTCTCCAGCAATATTTTTGGAGTGTTGACATTCTGGAGCCAGGATTTGGCTGCGTTGTGTCACACACAGGCACGACTCCCAACCCAGTTCCTCCCATCCTTATAAAATAAAATGAACATGGATTAACCTTCCCCAAACCTCCTTTCCAAGCACAAGGAGAGCAGGAGCAATGAAGTTTTCATTTGCCCTCTCACCACCCTTAGCATCAGTTACCTGCTCCTTTGTCTCCTCCCATTATAATTCTTTTTAGCAAATCAGAACTTTTCTGCCCCTTTTTGGTGAGCATAAATTCCTGAACACGGGAACTGCAGGTGAATTTACCTGGCACAGGTTTACAATTAGATCATCCTTTATGAAATCACTGCCCATGTTTTACTCCCACTCAGATTTTTGGGGTCTGACTTGCACAGTGTTCTCATCCTTAGGCTTTCCCAAACACTTCCAAGGAGGATTTCTTGTCCGTGCTCAATCCTAAATGCCCCCCCTGTACCCTGTTCCCTGGGAAGGGATTTATCTCCATCCTGCTCAGGAAAAACATTTCCAAGTGGAAACTTGAAGCTAAAGGCTCTCCAAGCTCCGAGCCCAGCTGTTAAACACAATTGTACCATTTGCTGAGTGCTCCTGAACACGCCCCAGGCCCAGCTCTCCTGGGGGAACTGGAGCTCCTGGAGCTGGGCTGGAATTGCCACCAGGTTTATCTCGGGAATTGCTGAATCCCCGTCTGCTGGAGGTGACTAT